CCCAAACCCTAGATGGGGGAGACAGATTTGAGCCCTCCCTCCTTTGTCCTTGCCAACTGATCTCACAATAAATCTGCTTCTTTTCTCAAAAGCTGGTGCCACAGTATTGGCTTCTGTGCATGGCAGACAATTTTAGCAACAAGGAGGCAGTCAGACTCCTGAAACATCTGAGAAATGACTCAGACAGTTCTCTTGCCCGGGAATTTCATACAGTTACCTGAATGTCCAGGTAAATAAGCCCTATCTGTCATTTCAATATGTTGAGCGACCCTAACCTTGGTGTCTGTAGAAGGTCTAGAGCAGATCTGAGTGTTAGCATGAGAAGTTTAAAATTCAAGGACATATAGCAAACTCCAATAATCATAAGGAAAGTTGTTAAGTGATATGCTGAGACCACCAGCTAACTAAGTGGGTCTTTCTTGGCAAAAATGCTGAATTGTCATCATGAGGGTCAATAAATTTATCAATGTGACAGAGGAGGTCTATTGTGAAGAGGCTCTGTTATAAGCTTAGAGCACTGCATTTATCATTCAGAGAGCAGTCAGCTGTAAGAGAAAACTCATAAAAACTGCCAAATACATTCACATGATTTCAATCGTGGAAGTATCCAGAAACTAGAAATGCAGGGTCACTGCAGGATCTCAACAAGGCAACCAGGGAAGGAAGTTCCCTCCATTTGTGGTTTGGTGTTAAACCTGTCAGGGTGGGGACAGGAAACAGGCCCACTACTAGAGAACAAGATGCTCCCTACACAGTTCATGTGATTAGGAGAAGCCTTGGAGATGGAGGGGGCCCAGGATGAGAAGATCAGCGAGAGTGACAGCCTGAAGAAGTGGCCCGAGGGACACCAAAGAGCTGCAGGAAAATGCAGGGATTTGTGTGAACCTGAAAACCAAAGAGGGCCCACGATGGGGGAGCGTGTGGGAGAGTCTGTGGAATCTGCTGCCTGAGAGGGAACTCACATCAAACATGAGGTGTGGTTGGGGATGCTCCAGATGGGCAGAGCCTGAAGTCAGACAAGTGCTGTGACACAGGCCCACCAGGTTCCCATGCACCCCTGTCCCCTGATAGGACAGAAGATCTGAGAGTCATGGGTTCCTCACCTCTCCTTTCCAAACCTTATGCACCTTCCTCTGCTCATGACCTTTACCTTAGAACCACAAACAGGACTCTGGGATACATGGTTTCCCCCCTCACCCAAGGTAACAGCACAATTCAGTAGAAGCATCTGGACACCAGCTCTCACCTTCAGGCCACAGCTCTCTCTTCTCAACTCAAGGCATCGTGTCCATTTCCAACCAAGATCAAGGACGATGAGCAGAGTCCAATTATGAACATAATCAGATGGGACTGTGCTCTTCCAAGGATTTTACACAATCATTAATTTCTGTGAGGAACACAGTACTCATATCCACTAGCATTAAACAAATGTGGAAGATACATCTTTCAATAATAAAGACTGAAAGGGAGGGTAGATATTGAGTTAAAATTTTCCAGTATCTGCAGCAGGGGACCAGAAAAGAAATTTCAACAATACAGGTGTCATATCATGATCATTTACTAGGAGAAAAACGGAGAGTAAGAATCAAAACACTTTTTATCTAAAGTTACATCAAGTTGACGTGAAGAAGGGCCGGCTCCGTGGCTTAGCGGTTAAGTGCGCGCGCTCTGATGCTGGCGGCCCGGGTTCGGATCCCGGGAGCGCCCCGAGGCACCACTTCTCCGTCCAACGTGAGGCCGAGTCCCACGTACAGCAACTAGAAGGATGTGAACCTATGACATACAACTATCTACTGGGGCTTTGGGGGGAAAAAACTGAATAAATAAAATCTTTAAAAAAAAAAAAAGTTGACGTGAAGAAAAAAAACAAAAAACAATAACCACTTATTACCCCTGGGTACAAAACATGTTGTACTAGAAAGGAGACAAGTTCTATATAAGTGTACAATTATTTATAGTCCGAGATAACAAAATATAGATCTTTATATTGAGAGTTTCTGTCCAGTGTGTCTTCTTACGTGTACTCGCAGGGATGCGCTATGACCGAGTCTTTTCCCACAGTGCTGACACGTATAGGGCTTCTCCCCACCGTGCGTTCTCACATGTCCCCGCAGGGAAACAAGGTGCTTATAAGCTTTTCCACAGTCCTGACATTCATAGGGCTTCTCCTCACTGTGTGTTCTCACGTGTATCCACCGGGACGAGAAGTACTTGAAGGCCTTCCCACACTGCTGACACTCATAGGGTTTCTCTTCACTGTGCATTCTCTTGTGTTCCCGAAGGTTTGAGGAAGTAACGAAGGCTTTGCCACATTCCGTACATTCATAGGGTTTCACTCCACTGTGCATTTTCACATGTTTTCTCCAGTATTGGGGACAACGGAACGCTTTCCCACAGTGATTACAGACAAAAGGTTTTTCTCCAGTGTGCATCCTCATGTGTCCTTGAAGGCAGTGCAGATACCTGAAGGCTTTCCCACACTGCTTACAGTCATAGGGCTTCTCTCCACTGTGCAACCTCATGTGTGCTCGAAGGTATGAGTACCAACGGAACGCTTTCCCACAGCACTCACATGCGTAGGGTTTCTCTCCAGTGTGCAATGTCACGTGTTCTCGAAAGTATGAGGGGCGGCTGAAAGCCTTCCCACATTCCTTACATTCGTAGGGTTTCTCTCCAGTGTGTGTCCTCATGTGTTGTATAAGGTAGGAGTTGAATATAAAGGCTTTCCCACATACCTTACATATGTGCGTTTTCTGTCCAGAGTGAATTCTCAGATGTCCCCAAAGAGACGAGGCACAGGTGTAAACTTTTCCACATTGCTTACACTCAAAAGATTTTTTACTATGGAGACTTTTCACATTTCTCTTAGATGGTCTCCCAGTATCCTGGGGTTCATAGGGTTTCTCTACAACGCCTGCTTCCAGATGAGGGCTCAGGCACGAGACACAACTGCAGAGCTGCCCACATTCCGCACATGGATGAGGTTTGTGTTCAGTGTGAGATCCTTGCTGATTCTTCAGGAAAGAACAACCCATGAAGGCTTTTCCACACTTCGTGCATTCATCAGGTTTCACTCCAGTTGGACACCTCTCGTGCACAGGAAGGTTTGTAGTCTGCTCCAGGGTTTCTCCACAGTGATCACCTTCTTTCCTTTCACACAGACTCTCCACCATATGACTTCTGTTCAAAACAGGAAGCATACCATTACAGGTTAATGATTATAAGTGATTTCTTTATTAAAGATTTGATGGTTGTTAATGATTACTTCAACTATGTATTTGCCATTTTCAGTGAAAAGGAATGTTTTTGGCACTGCCTGCATTGTTACAAAGTGGAAAAGGTTAATGCTCTGGCTGAGGGCTCAAATGTAGCCATAACTTCCAGTGTTTCTTACTCATGAGACTTCCTGATCATTGTTTCATGAGACACTCAATATCTTCATGACATTTATGAAAGTCTTCTCTTGTGAAAGTTTTCTGAGGACACAAGTGTTTAGCTAGAGTTCTAACTTTATTTAATTTCAAGAGATTCTAACACTCTGCTGAGACCCCCTTCCTCCTGTGGGAACGCCACTCACCTCACACGCCTCTCCTGGGTTTGGTGCTGACCTCCAATGTTATGAAACGTCCAATTTTCTCCAAAAATAGACTGGGAATCACATCTTGTGAATCTTACTATTTTGTCTTCACTGGCTATTTTATTCTCCAATATATCCTGCTGAGGTCTCGATCCATTGCTTTTAACTTGAGTGCAACAATCTACAACAATTGGTAGCACAGTTTGATTTCTTGGGAAAGAAATAGTGGGATAAACGAAAGAAAATAGACCATATGTGGATTTCTTCTCATAGACTGATCTAAAAATGGAAACAAATTATATAAGGAAGAATGGACAGGTGAGCAAAGAAAAACTCTGAGGACCTCAGCTATTCAGGACCTTGGTAAAAGTAGGAGAAATGAGTCAAAATGGTGGACTGATCACTAAGAAATACTTCAAAATAGATGGAGAGTGATATTGCAAGAAATATTAGCAGAAAAGCAAAGTAGGAAGCAACTGGGCAAAATGCACATCCCGAAATGCTCCCTTTATAAGAGTAGATACAGAATGTCTTCCCCAGGGGGTGAGGATGGATGAAAAGTCAACAGAAGCAGGTGAATGACACACGTCACCCTCTCAGTGACTGTGTCACGTTTCTAATGGGCACGTCCAAACATCATTCCCTCATCAAGAGCCTGTTCCTCCCGAGGGTGGCTGCTCTCGTGGTGTTCACAGGCACAGAGGCCCTAGAGGGAGACTTTCTCCACGGCCCCAGCTGCCATGGGGGATGGATGTGTGTGCGGCTGGTGACTACTCGAGGAGAAGAGCTCACCATGAGGGAGGATGGAGGGGAACAGACATTCCATGAGACGGGCCCATACTTTGTCTTCAAGACCAGTGATGATGGATAAGTGTGGGTTAATTGCAGCAAAATCACCATGTCAACTGTGTGTTAACCACAGTCTAACTGTCACAAGGGTGAAAACCATAAAGCTGTTCTCACTGTCCCAAAGTGACACTGGAGATGAAGCTCACACTTATAAAATGAGGGAGACTTTTGTTCAAGAGAAATAAAAGTCTGTTTAATACGTGAAACTTTGTTTTCATGGAAAAGCTATTTGACTCTAGATGGTTCCATGAAGGCTTGGAGAGTGTCTCTCTTTTTCCCAACATATTCCCATTTCTCAGCCCCAATAAGATAGAACTGTAAGAAATATTTGTTCTGTAAACATAAGTGAAGGCATGATGCCGTCCTCACCCACTGAGGCCAGGTTCCTGCAGGTCTCCAGCATCACATCTCTGTAGAGCTTCCTCTGAGCAGCATCCAGCAAAGCCCACTCCTCCGGGGTGAAGTTCACAGCCACGTCCTCAAAGACCACTGAGTCCTGAAACAGCCCACATACTCTATTTCAGCCAGGCCCCAACTTCAGCAATGTGTGTGGGAGGATGAGAGTCAGGGACCTGCACTCAATTCCTAGGACTCCTGAGCTCACACTCTCGTGGGAAATGACGAGAAGCAAATCAAACGCAGTATGTTCAGTGATGGTAAGTGCTTGGAAAGCTGAAGCAAGTGCAAGCACAACAACTGATATAGACTTATGTGTGCATTTTCATAAGAATCATTTTTCCTCAGAGCAGATTCTGAGATACGGTACAGACTGAAAAATGAAATCATCTTTCAGAGAACACAAGAATTGACAGCTGGATTGGTCAAAAGTTATTTCCTTGTCAGCTCCAAGAACTGGAACCAGAATGTCAGCATGTTGTGAACACAGATTTCCAGTGCAACTTGAGCTGAACAGTCTCACCTTGGAAGCAACAGTGTTGAGGGGCCTGAACTCTTCCCTATATTCCAACAGAGGCAGAGACACGACTCCCTCTCAGGACGAGGGGGACACTGTGGGCACAGACGTGGGCCAGAGACTGGGGCCAGGCACACCTGATGGGTAAGAGGAGAGCCTGGATCCTGAGGAAATCTGTCAAGCTGCCAGCCCTCTCAAATAACGAACTGAGTGCAAGAAATTCAAGAAATATGGCCCCACAAAGAAGAGTCACTGAAGGATCTGAGGTTAATAGAGTGAAAGTGCCTTTTAAGAGAGAAAAAAATACCTATTAAATATCTTTAGAGGAATATAAGATAACACCACACCCATGGAATAAAGAGCAAACAATTATGAAAAGAAATGAGAGATTGTTTAAACAAAAAAAATCTTCACAAAATCTAAAGAAAAAAAATTTCTACAGCTACAAAGAAAGTCAGGCTACCTCACCTAGAGTAGCAACTGGGCTTTGCTAACCACACCCCTGATAGGAGATGAATTCTTGGTATAGTTTAAAAACTCAGATGACACCAATAAAAAAATAAAGTAAAATAAATAATACATTTAAATAATGAGCAAAGAATGTGAGTAGATACGTCTCCAAAAAGAAATACAAGTGGCCTGGGGCCGGCCCCGTGGCTTAGCGGTTAAGTGTGCACGCTCCGCTACCGGTGGCCCGGGTTCGGATTCCGGGTGCGCACCGACGCACCGCTTGTCTGGCCACGCTGAGTCCGCGTCCCACATACAGCAACTAGAAGGATGTGCATCTATGACATACAACTATCTACTGGGGCTTTGGGGAAAGAAAATGGAGGAGGATTGGCAATAGATGTTAGCTCAGAGCCGGTCTTCCTCAGCAAAAAGAGGAGGATTAGCATGGATGTTAGCTCAGGGCTGATCTCCCTCACAATACAATTAAAAAAAAAGAAATACAAGTGGCCAATAACCTCATGAAAAGATACTAGACATCACTAATCATTAGGGACCCACATCAAATTCAATATTGGAGAGACACTTGCCAACTCATTCTACGAGGCCAGTATTACTCTGGCCTCTTATCAAAACCAAAAACATCATAACTACAGAAAACTAGAGACCAATATCCTTCATAAATATAGACAGGAAATCCCTCAACAAAATCCTAGGAAACCAAACCCAGTGAAATACACGTAAAAGGATTCTACACCACGACCACGGGGGATTCATCCCAGGAAGAAAAAGGTTGGTTCAACAAACGGAATATCAGTGTCAAGTACCTTATTACTAGAATAAAGAACAGAAACCACATACATGGTCACCTCAAGAGACAGAAAAGTCATCTGACAAAACCCAACACCCGTTCATGATAAAAGTACTCAGCAAACTAGGAACAGAAGGGAACTTAACCAGATGGACGAGCATCCAGGAAAAGCCCACACCTAACGTTTCAACAGACACGTCTCTGAAAAAAAAAATACAAGCGGCCAATAAGCACATGAAAAGATGCTAGACATCAGCCACCAGGGAAATGCAAACCGAAACTACAAGCAGACCCTCTTCACACCCTCGAGGATGGCTATAAGATGGACAAACAAGGCTGGCGGGATGTGAGGAAGCTGGAACCCTCACACGTTGCTGATGGGAATGTAAATGGTGCAGCCACTTTGGAAGACAGTCTGGCGGGTCCTCAATGATGAACACAGAGCTACCATATAACAGCAATTCCACTCCTAGGTATCCATCTACCCAAGAGAAGCGGAAACATCAACACAAAAAGGAATACACAGATATTCACAGCAGCGTGATTCATAATAGCCAAAACGTGGCAACAACTCAAAAGTCCATCAAGAGATCTGGATAAGCCAAATGTGGAATATCCAGACAATGCGGTATGATTGGGCAATGAGAGGAGTGAAGTCTTGGTCCATGGCACAAAAACAATGAACCCTGAGAACATGGACAGGCCCAAAAAAGACCACACAGAGCATGATATCGTGTATAAGAAATGTACAGAACAAGCCAATCTATGAACATAGAAAGTAGATTAATAAATTGCCTAGAACTCAGGGAGGGGGTGGCCTGGAATGAGGAGTCACTGCCAACAGACACAAGTTTTTCTTTGGGGGTGATAAAAATGTTGTAGAATCTCTGGGATCAGAATGGCTGACGGTGACTTGGGAAGATCCTGAACTAACCTCCTGCCATGGACACAACAAGTATACAGCTACACATGGAACAATTCACTCTGAAAACTAGCTGAACAGGGTCCACATGGAGATGGGTAAGAGAGGCAGAGACAGGATCTTGGCAAAAACCCCACCCCCTGTGCACAACCCACCATCAGGAGGGATCTCACAAATGTAGAGCTTCTCCCTGAGGAGTGACAGGTTCATGGCCCACATCAGGCACCCCAATCCTTGGGACCTGCATGGGAGAGATGAGCCCCCAAACCGTTTGGCTTGGAAAACCAATGGGGCTTATGTCCAGGAGAACCAGAGGGCTGTAGGGAACGAAGATTCCACTCTTAAAGGGTTCACATGCAGACCCACTGGCCCCAGGACCAGCGTGAAAACAGCAGTTTAAAAAGTGCCTGGACCACAGGTGAAAGATACTCATTTGCTAATCTTAAAAGCATCAGCCAGAAGGGCAGGAGTCCCTTGGGACTCTCTCTGGGGAAGGAGGTGCTGGTGGGTGCCATTTGTACACTCTCCCTCTATCCCGCTAGCACTAGTGGGCACGTCCCTCCTCACACCCCTTGTGCAGTCCCACCAAAGCCAGCCGGCATGCACAGGCCACACAGGGAACACCCTCTAAGCCTCTGGATCCGGTGGGCTGGGGGGATTGTATTTCTGGGCCCTACAGATCTGAGACAACCAGAGAGACCGTTCTTGGTGGACTACCATCCCCAGGGCACTGCACAGTGGACTGAAACACACCCCAAGTCCTCCTTCACATTACTTGTCCTGGACCTTCAGCCCGAGGAGCAAGCTTCAGGTTTACCACACATCTGGAGGCTATGTAAGCGATCTCAGGGAACACAGGCCAAGAGACACATCCTTGCACTTCCCTTTGGACTCAGGACAGCTCACCAGTACCTCCCAGAAAGAAGCCCATACACTCACCTGGAGCCCCTATTTTCTTTTGCAACTACCGCCAAGGGGGACATCGCCAGATCACCTGGTACAGACACCAGCAGGGTTTACAACTGCAGTCCCACAGGACTGTATATAATTGCATACCTTAAAAGCTGCTGCCTGAGTGTCTAGCTCCCAGTCAGCCTGAACTAGGTGCTGACTGAGACCTCTCCCTCTGGGACACTCACAGGTCTCGGCACACCCCAAACAGCTGGAAGCTATCAAGGATACATCAGGCTGCTTTGACAATCACAAAAGTTCCAGAGACATCCAAGAGCTAGGACAAGGTTAAATGATAAGGTTCATCTCCCACACCAGGCCACTCCTTCAAGACCAGGAGAGAAAGCTGTTTTGTCTCATACACAGAAACAAACACAGAGTCAAACAAAATGAGGAAACAAAGGAATATGTTGTAAACAAAAGAGCAAGATAAAACCCTAGAAAAAAGCCGTAATAAAACAGACGTAAGTAATTTACCTGATAGAGAGTTCACAGTAATGATCATAAAGATGCTCAATGAACTGAGAAGAGGAAAGGATGAACACTGTGAGAACTTCAACAAAGAGATGGAAAATATAAGAAGTACCCAATAGAAGTCACAGAGCTGAAGAATAGAATAATTGAACTGAAAAAATATACCAGAGGAGTTCAACAGCAGATTAGATGAAGCAGAAGAAAGAATCAGTGATCTGGAAGACAGGGCAGAGGAACTCACCCAAACAGAACAGCAGAAATTTAAAAAAAAAAAAATGTTTTTTAAGCAACAATCTTAAGGGACTTAAGGAACAATATCAAATAGAATAATATTCATTTGTTGTTTTTACCTACTACTTATGAGTGAGATCCTATGGTATTTAACCTTTTCCCTCTGACTTATTTCACTTAACATAATACCCTCAATGTCCATCCATGCTGTCACTCAAGTGGAATAATATTCACATTATAAGGGTCCCAGAAGGAGAAGAGAGAGAGAAAGGGGAAGAAAACTTATTTGAAGACATGATGGCTGAAAACTGCGCTAACATGTAGAAAGAAAAAAAAAAAATCAGATCCAGGAAGCCCAGAGAGTTCCAAACAAGACGAACCCAAACAGATCTACACCAAGACACATTATAATCAAAATGCCAAAAGTTAAAGGGAGAATCTTAAAAGCAGCAAGACAAAAACAATTTGTTACCTACAAAGGAACCCCCATAAAACTATCAGCAGATTTCTCAGCAGAAACTTTGCAGGACAGAAAGGAGTGGCATGATATATTCAAACTGCTGAAAGGGAAAAAAGTTCCAACCAAGAAAACTCTACCTAGCAAGGTTATCATTCAGAATTGAAGGAGAGGTAGAGAGTTTTCCAGCCAAGCAAAAGCTAAAGGAGTTCATCACCAGTAAACTGGCCTTATGAGAAATATTAATGAGACTTCTTTAAGTTGAAAAGAAAGGATACTAATTAGTAACAGGAAAACATATGAAAGTAAGA